ATATGAAACTAGTCCGAACAAAACTTGAAGGTTGATTGATTGCATAAAATAACAAGCAGAATAAAATAAGTAGCAAGGTTTTGTAGACAATAGAGCAAAATAGGATTCTTGGGATCACAATGTTTAATCACCTAGTGCCAATTAACGTTTGTAATATTTGGTTTGGAATTAAGATTTGTATGGGAATGCAAAGTGGAATCGAATTACTCCCGTAATCTCTATTCCTAGTGAATTTCCACTCCCATGGCTTAAACACCCAATAATATCAAAGATCAGCATTCAATTATTCCTAATTACTACCATCTCCCGATGAGCAATAATCTAGAATAAACTTCCCCTAATAAGTTCCCCTTTCCCAAGGACCAACCATTAGGTGCAATCGTGTGTGCCCTAATTTATGCCCCAACTCCCATTGGTGACACAAACATGACTGTGAAGCTAGTAATTTAGGCCTTTAACTACCAACAACAACTGATTAAAACAAGATTGCAACACAAATCATAAAACCAAACATAAATATATTAAGAAATTAACGAACTAGGCACATAGGTTCATAAACGAATTCACCCAAAAATCCCTAAGGAATTTAGCCGAGCATGGCTAAATTATACATAGCAAATATGAATAAAGGATTACAAATCATCAGAAGAGTACAAGAATTAACCAAGCGATTCTCCCAAATCTCCCTGGCTTCCTCCTTGCTTCCAAAGACGACTTGAGCCTCTTGATTTCTCTCTCTCTTGTCTACAAAGAACTCTAAAAATCTCTCGGTCTCGGTCTCCCCTTAGGGTTGAGGAAGGAGGGATTTTATAGTGGGTACAAAGTTGAGATGAAATAGGAATCTTGTACCAAATTGGACTCAAATTCTAATTCCTATATTTAAACAAAGAAATTGTCGTCTTTAATGATATTTAGAATTTGGAAGATTCCTTGAATTGCTAACTTTTAATATGGAGATATGAGCCTTGAAGTCCGCGCAATTGATATTAGGAAAAGAAATCTCGCGCTTGTATTGAATTTTGCCCAGCTGCGCCACTTTAGGCGTCTGTTTTTTTTATCCGCGCCGCTTTAGGCGTCTGTTTTTATCCCAGAAACAGACGCATATTCGACGCGTCGAGAATTTTCTCGACGCGTCGAGACTTCCTGTGCGCGAATTAATTAGCTACTGGAAAATTTCGACGTGTCGAGCCCTTGGCTCGACGCGTCGAGTCCACTGGGCCCCGAACTCATCCAAAATTGCTCCAAACTCATCCTTGAACTCCCCTTGGTCATATCTTTGACCTAAAATGGTTCAAAAATACTAACAAACACCGTAAAATATTCAAAACAAGTGCGAACCATAATTAAATGATAATAGCAAGGAAAACATGTATTAAATAAGCAAAATTAAAGAGCTTAATTACTGTGATGATTCAAAATAACCATAAAAACAAGCACAGATGTGATAACATCAATGTCTCTTGTAGGGGAAGTCGTAAGTTTGTGAGCTAGTGAAGAGGTAGAAAAAAGTGGTCAGAAAGTTATCAATATTATTAAATAATAAATAATTATTTTTATTATTTTACGACCAATTATATTTTAGGAAATTAGTCGAATAGTATTTAAAGTGAGTTAATGTTTTTTTTAAGGCAACAGCGAAAGGAAGGAATTAATGAACCAAGTCAATAACAAAATCACGATGGGTCCCCTCCTAAACCAACGGACCAGATTAAGAACTAATCGCTTTTGTTAAAGCGTGAGCTAGCTAGCTGATTCGTTTTTTTGACTAATGTAACAAACACGATAAGAATTAAAAGTGTTCATAATAGAGATACAATTACGAATGATCAAACTAACATAAGATAAATCAAATTGGTTCCGTCTAATAATAATAACAACAACAACAACAATAATAGGATCCATATTAGTACAATATTATGAGGTTTACTATGATATTATATTAGTAAAATATTATGATATACAATTCAAGTCATTGGTAACCTAATGTTTACTTGTAATAACAAGTGAAAATGACTTGATTGCATTTTTTTAAATAGTTCGAGGGTTTATTTAATCTTTATCTCTAATTTATTAATTAAATAGAAATATAATGCTTCAATTCAAAAGATAATATACTATAGGCCTTGTTTGGTAAAATAGTTAGCCTATCAGTCAATTGTGATTTATTTGACTTCTATTATTTGTTGTTTGACTTGGTTAAACAATCAATATGCGTGTTTGATTATTAGCTTTTTATAACAATTTATTGCTTCAAAATGTTAAAATTCAAAAAGTTGCTCAAAGTAGCTTTTTCAATAAGTTTTTTAAAAAAAAGTCATTTCACATGTAATAAGCTATAGCTAACAATTAATTTACCAAACAATTTTTTACAATCGGCTAATGCTATCAAGTAATCAAACTCACTAGCACAATCAGCTAATAGATATTTACCAAACCTACATTGTAAATTTAGTTCAAACATAAAAAATATTGTCTTTGATAGATCCTAATAAATAATTATTAGGAGGGTGTACAAATTTATAACATGTAAGACAAGACTAACTAGCAATATAATATATGAAATAGTTTCACTAGCAGCTAAGCTGACGTACGTTTAACTAATCAATAATTATGCAAAAAATAATATTCCGTATAATGCATGTGATTGACACTAGTACATATATACAAAACTGTTAACCCACGATCGTTGTATATTTACTATCAATATTTACTATAATGCAGTAAAATATTATCAATAAACAACAGCGAAGGGTCAGCAATGGAAAATCAAAGTAACAGAGAGTCAGCAATAAAACTGTTAACCCACGATCGTTGATAAGTTGTTTATTGATAATATTTTACTCCATATATATACTTCACTCAGGTTCAAGAGATACAAAAGTGTCAATTGAGCACAAGGTGTTTAGCCTTCATTTTGTGCTTTAAATGTAGATTTATGTAAATGACCCACATTTGCTTCATTTGATAAATTAAGTACAAATTCTCTTGTTTAAGCAAAACATATCAATTTTTCATGTGTTTTGGAAGAAAATTGAATCAAATAGATCATTGAAAAAAAAAAAAAAAAAAAAAAAACAAACAAACAAACAAACAAACAAAAACAAAAAACAAAACAAAGACAAAAGCAAAAATAATAAAAATAATTTTAAAAAGTCAAGGAGACGGATACAATAATCTTTAGAGAGCCAATACGTGGTGTTTTCATAACTCCAGTCTCATGACATATCAATTTCAAGTCTTTCAAGTACACAAACTATCAAAACCACTTCCCTGTTTTCATAGTGAGAAATAGAAATTATGCAATGACTGGCTTAAAATCTTGACTCAACTCTCATTGTGGCAAAAACACCAAAGGCATGCTAATGAATGTCACAAGTCAAATATTACAAGATACAAACACAAATAATCTTTCATAATCGATATCTCAAAGAGCCCTAGTTTATGAATTTTACCCTTTATGCTATAATCACAAATAGAGCAAGTAGATATATAGAAAATACAACCTTAATTCATGCCCCTAATCTAACTACTCACACAACATATATTAGGCATATACAAGGTAAAAGCATAAACATTGCAAATGATGAAATGATGAATCCAAGATTACTAATTTTCGAAATGTTAAAGAACTTAAATCTAAAGATAACATAACCCTTAAATATGAAGGCAAATGAAAGAAAACAAATTGGGTTCGTCTAGGGGTCGAAACAGAGGAAATATAGCTCAAAACGCACTTAAACACTATTACAAAGCATAGGTACGTGTGGGCAACTGTATAGCTATAGCTAGGAGGTTTGCTAAGGCGTATAGCAATCTGTACGATCACACGTATTTGATACAACTTTAGACTTTACTTGAGAAACAATATGGTTGAATTGTCCTACCTACTATACGTACTATAGAACAATGGCAACAAGGGCAAGTGTAGTGACAGACAACTCGCAGTACAATACCTCATACACCTTGATGATGACCAAAATCTTGTTCTTGAAATCGTTGCATTCTAGATTACCGGCGCGCCTTTTGTATAGTCATACGCACCCCATACCAACCTATATCTTGAATTTGATCCGCCATCTTTAATTTCGTTATACATTTTATGCTCCAATGTTCTAATTGTCTCTAACATCTTTCAAAGTACATGAAAATCACTCGTTTCTACTTTGGACAAGAGAAATTATATATACTTAATTTACAATCAAATTAAAGTGAATAAAAGCTCATTTGGACATAATTTTCACATTCTAAGCACAAAATAAAGGTTATATAAGGGGTAAAACATGACAATTAAAAGACTTATCAACTATCACACACTTAAACATTTATTTTCCCTCAAGTAAAAAGAACAAATTAAACCAAAGACAAGAAACCAATTACTGAATAATTTTACGAAGGCAAATTCAAAAATAAAAAATTAAATGCTCTAAATATGAATCAATTGAATTCTCTAACACCTTATTCAAACCAATTGTTGAGTGGATATTGAAAAATAATAATAATAATAATAATAATAATAATAATAATAATAATAATAATAATAATAATAATAATAATAATAACAACAAAAAATTACCAAGAAATTGACACCATCTCACAAAGAATCATTCAAGCTCATGTATCAACAAAAAGTGAGCATCAATTACAAAAAAAAAAATAATAATAATAATAATAAAATAAAATAAAATAAAACATCAATAGAAATGAAGATAGGTCAATAATATTTGTCCGTACGAGTTTAGCTCATTGATTTCAATAAGTAATATTTAGGAGGAAGAGATGAGCTAATAAAATATTCGCTCTCACTTGAGAGACCTAGGTTCCTGACAACGAAAATTTGCATCATGTCAATAATAGTGGGCCTTAGGTCCCTTCTTCTTTAAAATAAAACTTTTCAAAAAAAAAAAAACAAAAAAGGCCAATAATAATAGTGGGCACAAATTGAGTTGTAACATCATGGCAAGTTCCAAGGCACAATTAATAGTCTTTTGGGAAGTGTTAGATAGTTTAATAGTTAGTTTGCTTTTAGATAGAGAAGTGCAAAATAAAAAATAAGATCCTAAAACATATGGCCAACAAGATATTCCTTCTCTACCTTTGCAAAGAAAAACACAAGTTGCATAAAACATGCCCCAATAAGAACATCTAAACAATAATAGAAATGGGCTCTTTCCACTAAACATTATAGTACATACTCCCTATTTGTCAGCATGTTCCTCTCAACTCTCAAGCCTGTCCCTCATTGCCCAAAAACCTTTGTTCCTCTCCATCATCACCACCACCACCACTGACCTCAACTCTTTGCCACATCTGCAAGCTCGTGAGGTTCTTAGCCCTGGACGACTCCACCTCCCAATCTGTCCGGCAAAGCGTGACATACAGAACCGAAACAGCGCAGACCGCCTGCGCTGACAAAAGCCCGAACCACAGCCCGCTGAACCCAGCCTTGAGCCAGAATGCCAAACCCACAGCCACCGGTGTGCCCACGAAATAAAAGGAGACGAGGTTTATGCGCGCCCCCACCTCTGGCCTGGCCGTGCCGCGGAGGATGCCACAGCCCGTGGTTTGTGGACAATTCCCAAGCTCACACATGCCGATAATTGGCAGAACTGATGCCACCACCGCTTTAAGCGACTCTTCTTTTGTGAAAAGGCCTGCCCATCTGTGCCTGAACACCACTGTCCATAAAACATTGATGAATCCGAACACAAATGCACATACCAAGGCAACCATTGCAGCTAGCTTGGCTTTGTATGGTCTTCCAGCGCCAAGTTCATTCCCCACCTGAATAATATATATGGCACAAATACACTTTAATTTAAAAGTAGTGCTACACTACATGCAAATTAAAGAATGACCAACTTCCCAATACTAATGATAAATTAAGTAATTAATTAATTTCTATGCACTAGTATATAAAAATGTGTGGAAAAAGATAAAGTATATCATGATAGGGTTGAAGAATAATGGTGATTGTTGGTTGGTTATAACAATATATGTAACAATTTAAAAGGCCATAACAGAAGTTGGCCAGAATGGCCAGAAAAGAAGTTTATGGAATACAGGTTACCAAGTATGTCCAAACAAATTTCATAATGAGCTAGTGGAATAAAATTACTTAGGAAAATTACAATTTTTGTCCCTAACTTCTTGGATAATATAATTATTATTTTTGTCCTTAATTCTGGACTGTATTTCATCTTTAAACTTTTATCTAGATTACTCTTTTTCTCTAGTTGGCTGGTCGACTAATTGGCCGACTAGGCGCCGAGTTTGGTGTTTAACTCTATCTAGTTGACGCCCAATTAAGCTGAGTTGACACCCAACTCGGCTGATGAATGGTATTTTTTGCATGCTCGATTGCTCTTCTTCTATATTCTTCCAACTATGTACTAACTAGGAAAACTGTAGACTATATACTCGAATTACTCGAGCGCCTAGGCTAGAGCCTAGTGCCTTCTGCAACAATGATTAGAGACGAAAAATAACAGTTATGGGGATGAAAAAAATAATTAAGTTGAATAAGAGATGGAAAAAGTGTGGGAAATGATGGAGTTACCCGAGCAGAGACACAACCAGCCAAAGCCAAAGGGATATTATACATAAAGCTGGTGGTTTGTATGAGAATCCCAGTGGCCGCCACAGCTAGCCTAGCATTAGGCAAGTATCCGGCAAGAACAGTGACAATCTCGTACCACCACCACTCCAAACAAATCCCAATACAGCTCTGCACCGACAACCTCAACAACGACCCCATCCCTCCGCCGCCGCCGCCGCTGGCGGCGGCGGCGGTCCACTTCCACTCCCACCTCCCATAAACACACACATACCCCATCATCAGAACCGTCATATGCAGATTAGTCACCACCGAGGCCAGAGCCACCCCTGCCACCCCCTTCCCCAAAACCACCACAAAAACAAAATTCAACGGCACATGAAAAATCACAGCCACAAAAGTACACCACATCTGCGGCCTAGTCACCCCCTGCGACCTCAAATAAACCCTCAACGGCTGCAACACCGTGTTGGTCAAGAGGTCAGGGAGAGAATAAACACAGTAAGTGGCCGCCATTGATGTGATCTCCTTGTCTTGCCCCAAGAACACCATGATTGGCTCAAGGTTCACCCAGAGAATAGCTATGGGTACGGTGGCCACCGCAAGTATGAAGATCATCTGCCTAAGCGAAAGGGCGAGGGATTCCCACTTCTTGCTGCCTTGGCAGCTGCCATGGGTCTGGCTGCACACTGGCTCCAGCCCGGAAGCCAAACCATTTAGCACAGAATAGCCAGTGATGTTTGTGAAGCCAATGGCGAGAGCCCCGCCAGCCAGCTCTAGGCTGCCGAGCCTCCCTAGAAACAGCACGGAAACCAGTTGCCTAAAATAGACTAGGCAGTTCATTGTTGTTATGGGCAATGCCATTCCCCATAGCTCCTTCAATTCCTCCTCAACCTGTATATTCAATACCATTTCTTTAAAATCATCATATTCACTAGACTATAGCATACACCAAAACATATATAATACATGCCCACTATGCATATACACATGTATACATAATATAACACATATATATAGCTCATGGCTGAAAGGTTGAACTATGCATATACACATGTATACATAATATAACCCCAAACATATATAGCTCACTGACCGAAAGGTTGAATGTAGGTGTAGTGACCCAGCAAATAATGGGCCTGGAGGATCTCGGCCTTAGAGAAAAAAAACAAGCATTCAAACTCTACAGTACTAAAGCACATTCTGTAATTTACCTCCTCATAATCCACAGAGAAGGTGTGAGGGAGCTCAAAATTAGACTTTAAAAACACACACACACACACATATATATATATGGGTGTGTATAATGGTGTAGGTATGCATTAAAAAAAAAAAATTAAAAAAAAAAAATTAAAAAACCAACCTGAGAAATAGAAGGGACATTGTGAGAAAGAAAATCTGCAGGGTCCTTTTCAGCCATGGTTGAAAATTCAATAAATGGGTACTTGAGAAAATTTCAAAATGGTTTGCAAAACCTGCAAAATAATTAAGGGCCGGGGAGAAATAAAAGAAAGCCCATCAAAGTCATTTAATGGTAAAAGCAGACAACAAGCAAAATCACCAAAAATCAAAGTTCTTTAATTTGCTCCTTCATTTATACATACTCTTCTGTTAAATTATCTCTCCTCTACTTTTCACAAATTAAACCTATCATAAAGTAACGCTTTAATTTTTTTCAACAAAAACCAACCTTTATAACTTGCACCCACTACCTAAACTGAGAAAATGATGAGAAAACACCCAGAAAATGATGAAGAAATTATGAATAGTCACATTACATATATAGGGAACTGTAATTTTGGAGGATTATATTGAGGATGTATAGTATATAGTTTTGATGAGGAACTTGTTGATTGAGATCAGAACAAAATTTGGTATGAATACCTGCAGGGTGAAGCTGGAGATCTGCTCTGAATATAAAGCTACCAATACCTCAAGGTGGCCAGCAGAGCCATGTTTATAAAGGATAGAAAATGTTTGCACCAATCTTTAATTTTGAAGCTTTTATATTGCTAAGTGTCACAACAACCTTCTTTTACAGTTAATTATTTTAAATTATGTTAATTAATGCAAAGGTTTATAAAAAAGCAGAAAAAAAAAGGTACTTTGGATGTGTAACATTATCCATTCCTATTATGTTACAATATGCTAATTAATAATCTAATGAAATAATTTTTTTGGGTAATAAGAAAAGTCTGACTATCTTTGTGATTTGAATTTAGCTTCCGTTCAACAATTATGCCACCCTGGTTGATATGAGACTCGAACCAGAAACCACAAGATACTTGACAAATCAACAATTCTTTTAAAAAAAAATACACAGTATTATTGCTAACACCCTCTTGATTGAGTCTGCTCACAGCGTTTTCCTAGTGTGATTTATCTCGAAATTTGTAAGTTATTACACATGAGTGGAGTTTACTCTGTACTCACTATTCAGTAGTGACTGCAGATTTTCTTTGTCATTCAAAGAAATACAGAATATTGTTATTATGATTGATGATTGATAAATCTTAGTCGCATGATACATAGAATATGATACTCCGTACACAAATTTTATCATGCATGCCCACTGATAGTACATTTTTATGAGTGGAAGGGGGAAATTTGGTTCATTTTTGTCCTCTGCACAACTTCCAGGTATATATATATGGTGCCATGGTGGCAAAGGAAAGTGGCGAATCCACTTTTACTATGAATGGCTAAATCGGCCCACCAATTTTTGGATGGGATATAGTATGTTTTATTATTTATTTTTTTAATACATACGTACATACACTCTACGCACAAGAAATCTTCATCACCTTTGATCTGTTAAGGTTTTTCAATGACCCTCAAATTGTTGTTGGAGCAAGGTTTTGAGGTGATCAGTAGAACCAACTCTGCCACAATTTTTTTGGATAATGAATAAAAGCAACAGTTACTAATTGAAGGTGTGTACGGAGCATTTCTTGCAAATCACACAAGATAGGTAAATCAAATTAAAAAGACCATATGTGATAGAACTCAACTGAAAGAATCATTATCAGCCTACTTAGACACCTTTTCAAGTGTTTGGGGCACCAAATATTTGAACGATATGATACATCTGTATTGTTTGTACATAATTAATGGAATTTATGGAAAAATTACACGTTGATCCTGGATATAGGCTTAATATTTTAAGAATTTTTAGGACAAATATAATCTATTTTAGTGTAAATTTGGTCCATTATTTAATGACTGATGACTAACGATATTATTTAAAACGGTAACTTAAAATTTGTAAAAGTGCACAAGGCATTTGTAGGATGAAGATTAGGAAAATACTTTGTGTACTCCCATTTTATACTCTCAATTTGTATTCCCTCTCACATGTTCTTGATGTAGACATTTTTTTGTGGACCCACATGTTAAAAATAACTAATCCTGGTTTGCCACCTCAGGGAGTACAAATGAGGGAGTACAATTTGGGAGTCTATATAGTAGAACTCTGAAGATTATATAGGATAAAAAGAATCTTGGACCGTACCCTCTCCTGACCATGAATTATGTACATTATGAAGTTAAATTATGTGTATTGGACCAGGATCCACAGTGCAAATTATGTGTATTGGACCAGAGTCCACAGTGCACTGTGGACCCTGGTCCACGATATAAATTGCCGATTCTCATGGGAACACAAATTACACAAGCATATATAGTACATAATATAAAATATATTATATATAAATTAAAGTTTAATTAGCTAACTAAATCATGAATACAACATGATAAGGCCGCTAACCGGTTAAGTTTCTAAATACGGATTGCCCCAGGCCAAACATGAAAATGATGCTTCTTTAATTTGTGCCCGGCAAAGATAGAGATGAAGATGGTGAAAAAAGGACACCATTTACCAAATTATTGATGCAAAAGATGAGGTTATTGAAAGCTAGCATTGATAGAGATGAGTTAGCCAAATATTTGTCCTTCTAAACACAAATACAAAAATACAATATATATATATATATATATATATATATATATATATATATATATATATATATATATATATTGATGCAAAAGATGAGGTTATTGAAAGCTAGCATTGATAGAGATGAGTTAGCCAAATATTTGTCCTTCTAAACACAAATACAAAAATACAATATATATATATATATATATATATATATATATATATATATATATATATATATAAGGCTAACAGGTCAATTAAGATTCTAAAGAAGGATTGCTCTAAACACCAAATTAAATATGCTTCTTTAATTTGTATCCACATCTAAAGAAGAAAAGGATTAAAAAGACATCAGGATTGTTTAGAAAATGGCTTATCAGTTAAAGTCTAGCTTATTTGATCAATTTTTTGTTTAAATGTTTGAGAATCAGTTTTTTGATGACTTAATTTATTGATATGATGCGAATATGTTGGAAATGAAAAAATTACTTTGAATCGGTAGTTTAAGTTGTAACTTTAACAAAACAATTTAAAGTTGCATCTCATAAACACACAAAAAAATGTGCATTAAAGATAACCAAATAAGGGGACAAACCCTAATGCTTTGGCCCCATGCATGTTCTTTAAACTTTAGGATATATATAACAAGCATCAAAACTGTATCATTAAGAGACATTATTATCATATACTTACAAAATATCTTAATAATTCCTCTGAAACTTTTGAAATGGACCCTTCATTATATTTTGTTCGGCTTTTTCTAGTAAAGTTATATTAATGTCAACGTTATTACACATTGTATTTTATGTCCTCTTATGGTTATAATAAATATAATTTATAACATGGTGAAGTGATAGTACGTTAAAAATTAAAAACGTCAAAAACAATAATTTACAAAAGCAAACATTTCTATAAAGTCTGGTGTGATAATGGAAAGGAGATCCGATGGTGCACGTTTGTTCTTATTCATGTACCCAATCGATCAGATCAGATCATGAGATATTTTAGATGAATTATTGTTTTGCGTATTTGACAGAACCATTTAATTAAGAAAAAAAGTCAAATAGACCCTCAAATATTTGCTAAAAAGTCAATTAATCCCTCCAACTTTTTAAAAGTGTAATTACATCCATGAACAATGCATTTTGATGCAATGAAGCCCAAATACAGGTAAATGATCTACTATTATAGGTCATTAAAGATTCGGCAACTTTTCCGGCGTGTTTTCAGGCAAAACAGTGACCGGTGACCGATCGCTAGTCACGGAGAAGGCAACCTAGATCTGGGTTGCCTTCTCCAGTTGAGAAGGCGACAATTGTAGTCACCTTTGGGTTGCCTTCTCCGCCTGAGAAGGCGACCACTGTGGTCACCTTCTCGCCAGAGAAGGCATGATAACAAGTCATTTACTTGTATTTAGGCTTTATTGCATCAAAATGCATTGTTCATGTGTGTAATTGCATCTTTAAAAAGTTGGAGGAACTAATTGACTTTTTAGCAAATGTTGGAGGGTCTATTTGACCCTTTTCTCTTTAATTAAATATCAATAATAATGAATATCCGTTGTTCTTCTCCCAAAGACCCGACAAAACATTTGGGAGGATGTACATCACGATAACTCAATAGCCCGCCAGTGCACACAAGAAATTTGTCCATTTTAAACATAATTTCCACACTGCCGCCACCGAGATTCATCCCGGTCAGGTTCCATGGGTTGTTGAATTGGAGATATTAGTATTTAGTACTGAGTACATACACAATTAATTGAAAAATGTACAAAAAAACAGTAAAGCTCACTTGGATAAAAAAAGGGAACAAAATAGAGAAGAGAACCTATCACATAGTGCCTAAGTTAGTCCACTCATTCATATTTCCATTCAGAGGTTTTGTTGTATACACCATGAAACAAAGTGACTGAAGAAACAATTCAAAACTTGAAGGCCTTCATTATTTCTTCATTTACCTTCACTTCCCTCTGTTAAGTTCATTAGCAAAGGCCAAGAAATACACCTTCAGGATTCCTCCTGCACACCCAGATTCTTAGGACTGATGAATCTTTACAAAATGGACGCGGAGGATCGTGCAAGCAAATGGCAAGAGAAGACATTTCCTTAAACACCGTACCGCCTGGTTTTTGCCCCGAACAGGTCTGAAGAAGAGCTTCATGTTGTGCTGTTAACCGTTGCTAGAACAGAATGCGGTCTTGATAAATCTCTAGCGTTTGCATCACCTTCTCTATGAATAACTTCTTGTGCAATCTGTACCTGTCAAAAGGGAAGTTTCTCGTTGATTAGAAGTTTAATCAATCGAACTAGGGTGCAGTGAGATCCACGAGCTGATATGAAAATTGCGTACTTTATTGCTGTTTCAAGAGTCCTCCTGGGTTCAGACAAAGAATCTGTTCACAATAAGCCAGATCTCAGGATTACTTGTGACTACAAAGAAAATTGTTGGAGGAGAAGGTAACAATTTACGGGACCAATCATAGAGCATGAGTATAACAATTAAGCATGTGCTCTATCTCAACTAAAAGCATAAACT